ACAGTGGATCTGGGCCGATCGCATGACTCGACCTTCCCCAGCTAGCACAGTGGATCTGGGCCGATCGCATGACTCGACCTTCCCCAGCTAGCACAGTGGATCTGGGCCGATTCTGGCTGAGATCTTGGAAATATTATTTATACATCTTTGTTTATTATCATAATACTAATAAAAAAAATAAAAAAAATAATGAATGTGTATAAATTGCTCCTCCATGGATTTTTGTGGAAGAATTCCATTTCAATATAGGCTACATAACTACAAAGGGCAAATAACAAATGTGATTTAAAAAATAACATATATTATTGTAAAATGACTGAGACGACTGTTAGGCCTACCAACAGCCCTAAACATGTGGGTCATCACTAGTTACAACAAACACAAAGTCATAAACCCTGCCTATTTCTACAGTTTATCTTCTTAAAATGTGAATTTAAACCTAACCCTACCCTTATCCACACTGCTAACCTTATGCCTAACCCTAACCTTAAATTAAGACCAAATAGCTAATTTTAGTTTTCATGAATTTTAAGATATAGCAAATTCTGACTTTGTGGCTGTAGTAACTAGTGGAAACTGGAGAGGTGAGGCCCTTTCTTCTTCTTCTTCTGCTTCTTCTTCTTCTTCTTCTTCTTCTTCTTCTTCTGTGTTTTCTTTAAATGGCGGTTGGCAGCCAAAAGGTGGATTACCGCCACCAACTGGACTGGAGTGTAAATCCATTACACTTTGTGATACAAAAGGGAAAAGGGGAAAAATGACCCTGCCAACTAACACTTCTGTTATAAAAAAAAAACACCACCCCTTTGCACTACTTTGACCCTTTATGATCCTACACCAGGCCAACAGCCTAGGAGGACGGGACACTACCATTCAACACTCCCTATAACTCCTCTACAGTAAAGTGTCGTCAACCCAAGTACTTCTCTGCAGCTGCCACCACAACACCTATCTTCTGTGATTTACGTTCCATTTCTGCGGTACAGTTGATAACCATGGCAATGAACGCTAAAAAGCCAACCTTACTGTAGCACATTTCATTCGTAGGCCTATCACTCTGTACTGGCAAATGTATACTATTCACTGGGAGCCTCTTTGACCCATCTTCCACTACTGTCTTCACTGCCTCAGCATACGACACCTTCTGTACTACTCTGACCCTGGCAACCTCAACCTGCCTCTCTCGCACCGGACACTTCTGATCCCCAGCACCCCTTACAGTTAACACATACTGTACCGCTTCTTTCACCGAAACTACACATTCCTTTGTCCCACGTCCTCCTGCATCTTTCTCCTACACAGTGCTGCAACATGACCGTAAGCTTCGCATCTGAAACACTGTAGTGAGTTCGGAACAAAATATCTTACGGGATAACTGATATATCATAACATGACTTTGTCAGCTAAATTCAAAACTCAAAAAGACAGACAGTGACTCGTCTGTTTCACCGCGCTCGCCACTTTCTTCAAAAATGTCACTCCAACTGGACCAGAGTCATCTTTATCTTGACCACTGCCCCCTCCGAGATCTTCACCACGCTGCCCCCTCCGAGATCTTCACCACACCTGCCCCCTCCGAGATCTTCACCACACCTGCCCCCTCCGAGATCTTCACCACTCCTGCCCCCTCCGAGATCTTCACCACACCTGCCCCCTCTGAGATTTTCACCACACTGCCCCCTCCGAGATCTTCACCACACCTGCCCCCTCAGGTACTTCATCCTCCTTCACTTCCAATTCACCTCCAGAGCTATTGGAATACGGCTCATTCTGTTCGTACTTGACGCCAATCCTCCTCGACGTCCCGTCTCCCTCATTACGGCTAGCTTAATTGGAAAACACATAACCTACTTCCAGCGATCTCTTCATCGACCCTAAACCTGGAATTACATTTTCATCAGAATGTCGGACTCCTTGTTCCACGTGTCTCCATCATTTTCCACTACTACTTTTCCTTTGCGTTTCTTGACCGCCGCCGGGTAGGCTTCCCTCCCAAAAGCCGCGTCTGGAAGCGTGTCTGATGCTCGTTGCCCCTACTTTTCTTGTTCCTCTTTGACTTTGGCATGGATCCTAATTGGATACCTTTTAATTGTTGCAAGAGCCATAATCCTCAAAGCCCGTTGCTGCTGCTATAATGTACAGCACAGTACAGTACAGCAGCCCCAACAAACACAACAAACAGTGTTGCTTCGGTCCCTCTCCTCTGTAAACAACTACTTCAAGGTCTCAGAGCGAGTGACGTCACCGATTGAAACGCTACTAGCGCGCACCGCGAACTAGCTAGCCAATTCACACCGGTTACACATGCACCCACAGGTTCGGCAAAACAGTTGCTGTTCTGCACACCCTTGGTCAGCTATAACAACTGAATCAACAAGCAGCAAACCCTTCACCGGTATCCAAAACAGCTAGGTGGGTTGCCTTGCGCTGATATTGCGGCAAAATCATGAAAGCCCATTGGCTAATCAGGACTGACATACCGTGGGAATTACAACCTTGCAGTGAATAACAATGCGATTTCGAAACCAATGCATGCATTTTAAATTATTTTCTCCAGATAATAAAAATAAATAAACTGGAGTGGCGAAAATAATTGAGATAATAAACGTCAAGGCAAGGTGCCAAGGCAAATACCCTGCCCCCTTCTGATAACCAGGTGGCGAATCGCATCTCTGCATGTCTGGCAGACATATCAGTATGGATGACGGATCACCACCTCAAGCTGAACCTCGGCAAGACGGAGCTGCTCTTCCTCCCGGGGAAGGACTGCCCGTTCCATGATCTCGCCATCACGGTTGACAACTCCGTTGTGTCCTCCTCCCAGAGTGCGAAGAGCCTTGGCGTGACCCTGGACAACACCCTGTCGTTCTCCGCTAACATCAAGGCGGTGACCCGATCCTGTAGGTTCATGCTCTACAACATTCGGAGAGTACGACCCTGCCTTACACAGGAAGCGGCACAGGTCCTAATCCAGGCACTTGTCATCTCCCGTCTGGATTACTGCAACTCGCTGTTGGCTAGGCTCCCTGCCTGTGCCATTAAACCCCTACAACTCATCCAGAATGCCGCAGCCCGTCTGGTGTTCAACCTTCCCAAGTTCTCTCACGTCACCCCGCTCCTCCGCACACTCCACTGGCTTCCAGTTGAAGCTCGCATCTGCTACAAGACCATGGTGCTTGCCTACGGAGCTGTGAGGGGAACGGCACCTCCGTACCTTCAGGCTCTGATCAGTCCCTACACCCAAACGAGGGCACTGCGTTCATCCACCTCTGGCCTGCTGGCTCCCCTACCTCTGCGGAAGCATAGTTCCCGCTCAGCCCAGTCAAAACTGTTCGCTGCTCTGGCACCCCAATGGTGGAACAAGCTCCCTCACGACGCCAGGACAGCGGAGTCACTCACCACCTTCCAGAGACATTTGAAACCCCACCTCTTTAAGGAATACCTGGGATAGGATAAAGTAATCCTTCTACTTCTAAATAATAATTGTAGAGTGGTTATCCCACTGGCTATAAGGTGAATGCACCTATTTGTAAGTCGCTCTGGATAAGAGCGTCTGCTAAATGACGTAAATGTAAATGTAAATATCTTCTGGTGTATGCATGTTTAGGCCAGTGCTTGACTTGGACTGAAATAGGTGCTGGTACTCATTTTGGGTGCCGGTACCGTTTATATTTAAGTGCAGGCACTCCTCAATACTTTTGAGCTAATATTCTACAGGAGGTGCAGGAACTCAAGCCTAATTTTTTTGAGGCGCAGGTACTCAGTTCGGGTGAGTACTGTGTTTAGGGACAGTTTTGTTGTTGTTGTTGCTCAATCTGATTGGGTGGGCCTGGCTCCCCAGTGGGAACATAGGCTTTTACCAATTGACAGGAGTTTCATGATTTTTATTTCTGAAGGTGGATTTTTTGTTGTTGTTGTTATTATTATTATTTTTATTTTTAAATATTATTATTATTTATTTTTTCTGAGAGTGGATTATTATTTTAATTTCTGGGGTGGATTATTATTATTAGGGAAAGGTATAAAATCAGTGACCACTCTGCAGAGCTGCCTCCAGAACAAGATTCATGACGAAAAATGGCGCGGTGGTCTAAGGCACTGCATCGCAGTGCTAACTGTGCCACTAGAGAGCCTGGTTCGAATCCAGGCTCTGTCGCAGCCGGCCGCGACCGGGAGACTCATGGGCGGCGCACAATTGGCCCAGCGTCGTCCAGGGTAGGGGAGGGAATGGCCGGCAGGGATGTAGCTCAGTTGATAGAGCATGGCGTTTGCAACGCCAGGGTTGTGGGTTCGATTCCCACGGGGGGCCAGTATAAAAAAAAGTATATATATATATATATATATGTATTCACTAACTGTAAGTCGCTCTGGATAAGAGCGTCTGCTAAATGACGTTAATGTAAATGAAAAACGCTAACCTGCGTAAAGTGCAAGGGTGCCAATATATTTAACCGTAACTGTATTTGTGTCTCCAACAATGCAGTGACTCTGATTCTGAATGTGTTGTGAACTGACGTTTTCTCAACTCGCAAAGCCGTGAACGTCCGTAGCTCGAGCTTCGTCTTTGATTCAGTCGCGAGGATGTTGGAACGTTTTTGTGTGGAATTTGAACGCACTCAAACAGCTCCAACCGTTCGGGAATACTTTCAACGGTTCTGAGGGAGATTGATCAAGGTATTGTGGAAAACAGACTAGCTAGAATTACATACATGTACATAAAATAAACATAATCTGAATATTAGCTATATACATTTTAGTTTAGACTTAAGTTATAGTTGACTTGCTAAAATAGTTGATAACAGCTTTAGCTAGCTATCTTTGATAACGAACGAGGAGCTAGCTAACGTTAGCTACCAGTACTAAGCTAGCTGTTAGCTAGCAGCTTGCCAATTTAATTTAAAATATATACTATTTAGCTAGCTGCTTTAATTAGATATTAATATGCACTTGATAAGTTGTCACTCTGATTTTTGTTATTTTTTGTTTCTCAAACAGGCGAAAATATGGAGCTCGAAGAGGAACGCCTCACCATCCCCATCAATCCCAACAATTTCCCAGCGAAATTGTGGCGTCTGGTGAATAACCCCAAAAATCGATCGATACGTTGGGATCCCTGTGGTGAGGGTTTGATAATCGACCAGCAGCTGTTTGAAGCAGAGCTACTGTCACCTCAGAAGCAAACGTTTGACAAAACCGACATATTCAAAACGACCAACTTTACAAGCTTCAACCGCCAGCTGAATCTTTATGGGTTCAGGAAGGTGGTCCATGGCCCCGGGGGCTCGGAGAAGAATGATGGCTCATCTCCGACAGACGGGATAAAACACCACTTTCACAACCCAAACTTCAAACTAGATCATCCCGAACTGCTGGTGAATCTTAAGAGGCTGACAAGCAAAAACAAGGCGAAGATGGAAGCTGGCCTAGAAGTGAACTGCCGGCCCCCAGCAAATCGTTTCCACCGACTCATGGCCAATTGTGATGGTGGTGAGCAGAAAGTTAAAGTAGATAAAAGAGGTACACTCAAATTGTCAATCGTACCTGTACTTTGTATTTTAAAACGAAAGGAGAAGCAACTGTAAATTAATAGCCAATTACTAAAATAACATTCTTATTCTAACTTGAGTGCCATAACTTCTCAGCCATGATAGTCATGATATTGCTATCATTCAATGTTTCCACAGGTTCCATGTTTGTTGGTCAGGTAAAACGACCATCTCCTTACCAACAGTACCACCAAAGCAGAAGCCAGCCCATGAAGGACTATGATCGGACCCCTATCCCACCCCGCGGCTGGATCATGGGTCATGGGGATGCCCCCTCCCCCACCACCTTCTACACAGACAAGGGAATCCCCATATCTGTCATCCACCGGTTCCCTTCAGACACTTCCTGCACTGTGCAGTCCAGTCCGACCACTGTGCACATGCAGCAGGGTTCACAAAGCCTGGCAAACAGCTTGATCCCTCACCATGCTCAGTACCGACCTGGATTCTATTCCCCTGGTAACTATAATAAACCATGCCATGGAAGCACCCATTAGTTAAACACAGAAACACTGTGATTTCCTCATAAACTGTCATAGAAGTTTAATTAACATACTTCTTGATTGTGTTTGCTTTTTTCAGCATCAGTGTGCCAGTGCTGCCCCCCTGGCTCAATGGACTTGGACTGCGGTAGTGCCCACCAGACAACTCCCTCATTCTCCCATTACAGCTATTACCAGGTAGGTGGGAATCAAACTACTACGCATACAGCAGCATGTCTGAGAATCTTTCCAGTGGGATATAGAATTCATATGGGTGAAAATATGGGGAGCATATGAGTCAACATTTCATGCTTGAAATGTCAAGCTATAAAATGTATATTTTTAATCCCATTTCTAGCCAAACTGTCCTGTGGGCTTTCTGTATCCTGGCAACCAAAACCAGGACTGGGAGAGCAGTGAAACCCAGGAGACCAAGAAGAGTGATGTCAACCTGGACACAGTCTTCCAGCTAGTGGACGAGCTGCACCACAGTTCCCCCAAAATACGCATGGTCAAAGTGGAGACCCCAGAGCGCCAGCAGCCAGTCCTGTACACCTCTACATCATCAGGGCCCCAGTCCACCACCACCATCCACAGCTCCCCTCACACAGTCACTGTCTCTTCCCAGTTTGACTCCTCTGTTAACTCCAGCTCTCTGCCTGGCCCCATAGTGATGGATGCCAGCCCAGTGACTCCACGCGGGCCCGTCATTATAGCAGTCCCGGGGAACGTTCGTCCTCAGGGAATAGCCATCACTGTCGGTGGTCCCGTGGCTGAGCAGCCTGTGAAGAGGGAGTACGAACCTGTGCCTGTGGATGCCTATCAGAAGGTAAGCTAGCTTAGCTTTGTAAAAACCTGTGACAGGGAGGCTATATCTATCAGAATCAGAATCACTTTTATTCGCCAAGTATATTTACACATACACTACCGGTCAAAAGTTTTAGAACACCTACTCATTCAAGGGTTTTTCTTTATTTTTACTATTTTCTACCTTGTAGAATAATAGTGAAGACATCAAAACTATGAAATAACACATATGGAATCATGTGGTAACAAAAAAAGTGTTAAACAAATCAAAAAATATTTTATATTTGAGATTCTTCAAATGGCCACCCTTTGCCTTGATGACAGCTTTGCACACTCTTGGCATTCTCTCAACCAGCTTCACCTGGAATGCTTTTCCAACGGTCTTGAAGGAGTTCCCACATATGCTGAGCATTTGTTGGCCGCTTTTCCTTCACTCTGTGGTCCAACTCATCCCAAACCATCTCAATGGGGTTGAGGTCGGGGGATTATGGAGGCCAGGTAATCTGATGCAGCACTCCATCACTCTCCTTCTTGGTCAAATAGCCCTTAAACAGCCTGGAGGTGTGTTGGGTCATTGTCCTGTTGAAAAACAAATGATAGTCCCAAACCAGATGGGATGGCGTATCGCTGCAGAATGCTGTGGTAGCCATGCTGGTTAAGGGGGCCTTGAATTCTAAATAAATCACAGACAGTGTCACCAGCAAAGCACCCCCACACCATAACACCTCCTCCTCCATGCTTTACGGTGGGAAATACACATGCAGAGATCATCCGTTTACCCACACCACGTCTCACAAAGACACAGCGGTTGGAACCCAAAATCTCAAATTTGGACTCATCAGACCAAAGGACACATTTCCACCGGTCTAATGTCCATTGCTTGTGTTTCTAGGCCCAAGCAGGACTCTTCTTCTTATTGGTGCCCTTTAGTAGTGGTTTCTTTGCAGCAATTTGACCACGAAGGCCTGATTCACACAGACTCATTTGAACAGTTGATGTTGAGATGTGTCTGTTACATGATTCCATGTGTTATTTCATAGTTTTGATGTCTTCACTATTATTCTACAATGTAGTAAATAGTAAAAAAATAAAGAAAAACCCTTGAATGAGTAGGTGTTCTAAAACCTTTGACCGGTAGTGTAACTGGAGTTTAAATAGGTGCTGCCAGCAATAGACAAATGTACAGACAGAATACAGACAGAGAAATGTACACAAAGTCAACATACAGAATTATACAATATAAATACAGTAAACGTACAACTGCAGAGTATAGGCTGATTTACAATGAGGAAATACAATTTACAAAACCAGCATACCTAAACTCATGATCATCAACGTTGTAGAATTTGGGGCTTTAAAGATTTTAGAATTGTGAGTGTAAAGAGAAAGCAAAGATACTCAGTCCGTATTACTTAGTAATCAACTTAATAAACAGGTATGGTATGGATGGTCATCAGTGGTCCTGATGAACTCTGTTGTATAATAGGAGATGAATCATGCTGTGATATCCCCAGTGCCCTGAGGAAGCATCAGAGTACATCACCAAGGTGAAGGAGATCCAGGTGGTGGACGCAGAGGTCTGCGGTGTTCTACGTGATGGAACTGTTTGCAGCCTCGGCCATTAGAACGATCACCAGACAGCAAACGAAATCTCCTGGTAAGACACTTACACTTCTGCACAATCCTTGCTGCTGCTTTCTTGGCCAGGTCTCCCTTGTAAAAGAGATTCTATATCTCAATGGGAATTTCCTGGGTAAATAAAAAAAACTAGGCAGAGGCTGCGGATCCGTAGGTAACCGCCCTGTCCCGATCCCCCGGAGATGAAGATATGTATCAAGTTCTGCGCATGTGTTTCTTTACCCCTACTCTATGCACACGTTTTTGTGGCACCCTCCATTCACATTTCTCACTGTCAATCATACTACGCTATTATATTCAGTTCTGTTTTATGTTGTAGAATACTATTGTTGTGATTTTGCAGACATTGATTCAGCTTTGATCTAACTTTATTAAACTAGCTGCACCATTCGCCAGAGTAGCCTGTGCGTAAGGTAGAGAATCCTGAACATGCGCAGAAGCTGCCGGGACCTTTAGCTGTTGGGAAGAGGGGTCCAGAGAAGTCGGATCCTCAGCCACTCCGTTTTATTAATACACAGTGAAGAATAATGTCAACAGTGAGGAGTAGATTAGGGGGATCATGACAGAATTAATGTAAAAATGTTCATTTCATCTTTTAGATCTGAACTCGTTGGTTGAAGTGGCATGCACGCAAGAATGTTTACCATAGTCAGACCAGGATGTCCCAAGTTTTCGGTTTTGCTACTCAGGCTCAAGTCTGAATTTTCTGCAGCTTCTTGTTGAAATACGTTTACCAATGTTACTTGTATGTCACTGATAGAAAAATCTATTTTCCTGATAGTACACATATTGGACATTGTACATAGTTCAGCCCTGTTCTAATTTATTCTTATTTATATGATAACTTCTACAGAATTGAAATTGACATATCACAGAACAGTTTTATTCTGAATGCTTAATCCTGGAATTAATTAATGCATACCAAGACTTATTTGTCATTTTTAACTTAAAGAACAAGTACCTTTTAATGTTTATTCCTCATTTGGTTTAGTTTCAGAACAGTTTTATTCTGAATGCTTAATCTTGGAATTAATGAATGCATACCAAGACTTATTTGTCATTTTTAGCTTAAATAACAAGTACCTTTTAATGTGTATTCCTCATTTGGTTTAGTTTGACACCAAAAAGGGACCTTTTTACATATTTTGAAAAGCAAAAAAAAAAAATCTGTTTGAACCTTTAGTCATTTTTTCATAATTTCTGACTTCTGGACATGATAGAATTGGTTTATAATGATAAAATATTATTATGATTAAAATGTGATATAATTCAGAGGTTCTTTGCATTTCATTTCTTGCATCTTGTTGTTGTTTGTATGGGGGGCCTCAAAGGTGGGCTACAGTCTACTGGTAGAGAAGGGTCCATTCCAGGATCTTTGATCAATTGTTAAACGAGATGAAAAAGTGACGCTAGGCTGTTACCAGTGTTGTCAGCTGGAGGGCGCCCGGTGCCGTCTTTCGTCTGTGTTGGCACTGTGCAGCTCGGTGACAGGCAGTCAGCAGGTAGACAGACAGGCGATGAGGTCCCAGGGGAGGGACACTCAGGGAGGCACTCTTCGGTACTTAGCAAATGTACACTCGTGTCTTTTTCCAACTTTTCAAATGTGTTATGAAGACCAATATTAGTGTTTTAACGAGTCTACATTTAACAAACCTTTCTTTTCAGTATCTCTATTTGAATACTGAAGTTTATAATACATAAAAAAAATCGGCAGCCGCGGGAAGGATCTTGTTTCAGAATTGTTAACATTTTAAGACGTGGAACTCTGGGATAATACTTTTTTGGAGGCTGCCAAGGAGCGAACAGGTTTTAGATGCGTAGCAACTTTAGTGGGCGAAAGACATAATTGTGGATGCGTCGGCTGCAGAAATGGCACGGGATTTATACTCCTAATTAATTAACTAGTTATAACATGTTAAGTAACTAATGCAACGATTCCATTGGATTAGTGAAACTTTTCAAGAGTCCGGAAAGCTCCGTTGTCAACTTTATAGTGGCATTTTTGTCGAGAGATTGTCGCTACAGAGCCTATGAAAGTAACTATTGCATTTTCGTCGTTTACTTTATTGTCGCCTTTCATTTTGGAATCCCGTCTTATCAACCAACATCAACCTGACTTTGTTCCTCTCGGTTTCTGAAGCCTCTGGGGATACTGTGGTGGGGATATCGTCACAATATCCTATCCAGCGTAAAGAGTAGTAGGGGATTTGCTTTTTAGGTATTTGACAACTTGTTGCATCTGGAGTCCCTCGGCGAGATTTTACCATTTTTGTCTTGCTCTGTGAGACATGTGACATGGAATACCGGTAACTTGGACACGCTTTTTTTTTGTTTAAACCAGGCGTAACTGTAGCATGTCTATAGTGTGTTGGTCACGAATTAAAGTAGCAACATTGTTGCAAAATGTTTATTGAAATCTTGCTAGTGGGGTTGAAGATTACAAGATCCGGCGTGTGACCGGACTGAACCGCTCTGTCTATGACAACTTCAACCTGCACGTTGAAAACGAGGATCGGGCCACTGTTTATCTCATGTAAGGAGCTCGTGTTGTATGTGAAGGGTGAACTAAATGTAGGCCTATTCAACTTTAAGCGACGCAATTCCAATTATTGATTTGATGTTGTCGAACTTGTGCATGCAATGTTTGGCCTCTCCTGTTAGTGATACCGGTTAACACACATTATCTAAATTCTTATTAGGCTATCTATGTATGTTATATTTATTTGATGGTAGCAATTTCATAATTTAGAAGCACGCGTTCTGATTTTTCCTTATGGGTGAATATGAGGACTACTTTACTTGGCGTGTTTAATAACTGTTTTTTACCTGGAACAAACTTTCAAAGCGGGATAAAAATTCCTTAAAAAACCACAAGACAACATGGCAATCCATGAGCCTTAACACTTTGGATAAAACCCTGTATTTCGAGTCGTTTTCACGGGTTTCTACCATTTCTAACCCATAAAGCAGAGGACCGGCGCTGGGCCATATATTTATTGTCCTGAATCAACTTTGGTGGTTGCCAGCTTTGAAGTCCACGATGTACAGCCGGAGCCCGCCGTTACAGCCGATCCAATGATCGTTCTCCAGCGGCGACTGGCCGGGCTCTGGCCGTGGCTGCTCATGGCGGCCCTGCAGGTGGTGTTCGGCCAGACGGGCCTGGAGCTGGCGGCGGCCGTAGAGACGGAGCGCTCGACCATCAGGGCTGTCATCAAGGTGACACTGCTGAGACACGAGCCCACGGGGAAGCCCATCACTCTGGAAGGGCTGTTCGTCGGAGGGAGCGCCAGTTCTGCAGAGGGGAAGCTCATGCAGGTATGTGTCACGGTCATGAAGGTTTGCAGGTCCACCAGATAATGTGCAGTGCAATTCACGTTAAGTGCATACTGGCTACATTTTCTATGTTGGCTTTCAATAACTATTTGGTAGTACATTTTCCAAAGTGTGGTTATTGGCTTAAAATATCCCATTAATCTTTAATCAATTAGGTCACATGGATTCACTCCGTTGAGTATGTTGTGTTATAGGTCTGGTAGTCCATTGAACTGTGTGGTATAGATGCTGTAAAGTCGTCAATGAAACTCAACAGAAACAATGGAAATGCCATGGGAAAGATGCGGGAAAGATCCCGAATCTCCTCATTACCCCGCAGCAAAATTAGCCTACGTTTAGGCAATTGTTTATATCTGTATTTAACACTATTTTGAAGTAAAAATCTGAGTATAATGCTTGTATGGATGTCAACCCCAATATACAGTATGTTCATGTCATCATCACCAATCAACTGCATTACCACCACTATGCTACCAGTTTATAGGAATGGGAGTTAGCATTTAGCAGCCACTTCTTCTAAACCTGAAAAGGGACAACATCTAGATGTTATGCAGCGAAAACAGCCAAATACACTATATGGCCAAAAAGATCTGGATACTGGCTCGTCGAACATCTCATTCCAAAATCATGGGCATTAATATGGAGTTGGTCCCCCCTTTGCTGCTATAACAGCCTCCACTCTTCTGGGAAGGCTTTCCACTAGATGTTGGAACATTGCTGCGGGGACTTGCTTCCATTCAGCCACAAGAGCATTAGTGAGGTTGGGCACTGATGTTGGGAGATTAGGCCTAGCTCTCAGTCGGTGTTCCAATTCATCGAAAAGGTGTTAGATGGGGTTGAGGTCAGGGCTCTGTGCAGGCCAGTCAAGTTCTTCCACACCGATCTCGACAAACCATTTCAGTATGGACCTCGCTTTGTGCACGGGGGGCATTGTCATGCTGAAACAGGAAAGGGCCTTCCCCAAACTGTTGCCACAAAGTGGGAAGCACAGAATCACAGTGGTGGAAAAAGTACCCAATTGTCATACTTGAGTAAAAGTAAAGATACCTTAATAGAAAATGACTCAAGTAAAAGTGAAAGTCACCCAGTAAAATACAACTTAAGTAAAAGTCTAAAAGTATTTGGTTTAAAATATACTTAAGTATCAAAAGTAAACGTAATTGATAAAATATACTTAAGTATCAAAAGTAGAAGTATAAGTCATTTCAAGTTTCTTATATTAAGCAAACCAGACGGCATCATTGTATTTATTATTTTGGGATAGCCAGGGGCACACACCAACACTCAGACATAATTTACAAACGAAGCATTTGTGTTTAGTGAGTCCGCCACATCAGAAGCAGTAGGGATGACCAGGGATGTTCTCTTGATAAGTGTGTGAATTGGACAATTTTCCTGTCCTGCTAAGCATTCAAAATGTAACAAGTACTTTTGGGTGTCAGGGAAAATGTATGGAGTAAAAAGTAGATAATTTTCTTTAGGAATGTAGTGAAGTAAAAGTTGTCAAAAATATAAACAGTAAAGTAAAGTACAGATGCCCAAAAAAACTACTTAAGTAGTACTTTAAAGTATTTTTACTTAAGTACTTTACACCACTGCAGAATCGTCTAGAATGTCATTGTATGCTGTAGCGTTAAGATTTCCCTTCACTGGA